GGGGGGGGGGGAATGTTGCAGTTAAATATGGTGCTTTGAGACTTAGAATTCACGTAGCTCCCCCTCCCCCCAACCTATAGATTATCTATAAATGGTCCCTTATGCCAATCCAATTGTTTTCATGACATTCCATAGGAAACACTTTGATTGACGTCAACTAAAACTCTAGCTCTTCCCGCAGCCGTTCTTAGTGGGGAGGGAGTGTTGCGTGACGACAGTAGGGACCTTAAGCTGCAGGACGGCAACGTGGGCGACAACGTCGGCGAAATTCAGGCGTTTCAACCTTCTATTGTATTATTATTTCGTGTTTACCTAGTATTTTACTCAATGAGCATCCCCGTTTTAGAGTGAAATGACGTCTTTTGGGAGCGCTTTACTTATAACGAAAATCAGCAAAGATAAGCTCTTGGCGTAGCCGTTCTCTTTAGTACGTAAAAATAGGACATTCCACGTCTTACTTTCAGCATAAGACGGCAATGATGCACAGTATTTTGTACATTCCAACGAGTATCTATTGAATAGCGCAATTAGTGCTATTGTATGATTGCCGTCGTCGTCGTCGTTGCCGTCCTGCAGCTTAAGGTCCCTAGTAAGACGGCGGCTGCGGGGAAGAATAAAACTTTATTTTGTCGCGAGGGAATGATTTAGAGCGTGTGATTAGGAAGTGCTGTAAACACTGTTAACCAGACTTCAAATTTGTATTTTAAATGAAGCCTTACACGACGTCCATAGATAATGTGATTGCTTGGTTGTCCTCCTAACTCTTACATCCATACAGCTCAAGCCTCATAGACATTCGAGAACCTTCCCATTCAAGAATTACAAATCGTATGAGTCTAGCTTTGATGGGCTCAGGTCCAAGAACTTGTTCAACCACAGTATCCTCGTCAGTATTACCTTGGAATTCCTTGCAATAAGGCAAAACATTTTTGGGTTACAAGGGCGGATCCAGCCAAACTCTTAGGAAAAGGGGAAGGGGGTGGGGCTAATTGAGTTTCTTCCGTCAACACAACGGAAAGCATCTAATTCTTCAGTTTTGTTTTGCTTTGTTTGTTTTTTTTTTTTTTTTTTTTTTTTCCTGGGGGCTTTAGCCCCCCTTTGCCCCCGCCCCCTGGATCCGCCCTTGGGTTAAATACTATAAAAATATTTCAGACACATGATCAGTCCTAAAACTATCTACATAT